ACCTTATACTCAAGTGCCATTTCTAGACCCTCATTACTGATCAAGTCACATGTCCCACTGTGCCCAATTCCCATTTACTCTCCCCAATAGTCCCTAGCCCCTACTTCAAACCTTCCAATTACCCCCCCCCCTTCTAAGGTTGGCTTTGATTCTTTTTTTCAGCTGTTCTTCTGCTATTATGATTAGAGTATTCAATCCATCTGTATCAACCACTGGACAACTGAGACACTGGTTTGGGTTCAGCAATTCAAGACAAAGTTTGTTACCTCTTTGCACCTCAAACTGCAAATCTAATTAGTCCCTTAGGAAGGTATAAGAGATAAGAACTCCACATGCTAGATTCTGATATCAAAAAGAATTCCTTCTCCAATTTGGTTTTTCTAATGATTGTTAAAGAAAGAACCACCCCCAACCCAGTTACCTCCCCCTCTACCTTAACACGTTGTCTCATTGTTCCATGCTTCTCAAAGATATACTTCTTTTCTCAAAAACTTCTGTTTCCTGTCTCATGAGGGCCCTCATTTCCATACATTCTCTCTGGTATCATGAACCTCTACCTCCTTGAAAGCACCCCATCCTTCATTTTCAAGTATGGTACCTGGCATATACTAGATGCAAGGTTAATGTCTGATGAATAGCTAAAGCTCCAGTTCTATATGGCTTAACTACTTATGTGACATATTTACTTTGTTATCCCTTTGTTACCTCAAAATTTGTGAGCCTGGAATAGAAATCATTCTACCAGATTAGGCTCTTCCCCATTATATTCTAATTTCTTTCAAATGTACCATAATTCTCCCAGTTTCGCAAAGAATTTATCTCCTTCTGTAACTAGCTAATTATTAACTCTGCCAAATTTTTTTCTTCATATTACTAAGCATATGGAAGGCAATCTGTCAATGTAAGGCTCATTGCATCTGTATAGCTAGGATTGACCCACTGAAATAGCCTCTTTAAGTCAAACTGCCTTAAATTTCTTAACTCTCCTGTTCATCCATTCATCCAATATTAAGTTTTCTTTTCCTGCATAATAACTTTTTTTCATTGAGTATCCTTTACTCAAAAATGTTTAATGGTTAGTTCAAAGGCTAATAAAATCTTTCCCTAGGAGGATGCATGGGGGCAGGAAAGAAAAGGAATGAGAAGGACATCATTATCCTAGGTAATGACTGCACGTATGGTGGGATGCTGCATCATGTGCAACCACTGAAATGAAAAGTTGTGCTGCAACTGTGTACCATGAATCAAAATGCATTCTGCTGTCATATATATCTAATTAAAATTAATTAATTAATTAAATCTTTCCCTAGCATTTGAGGACCACCACAATTTGAACTCAAATCAACTTTTCCAATCTTATCTCCTATTACTTCTCTAGGGATAGTCTTCATCATGACCCAAATGCCTTTTGTCACACTCTCAGTGTGTGTGTGTGTGTGTGTGTGTGTGTGTGTGTGTGTGTGTGTGTATGTGTGCATGCGTGCACATGTTTACCCGTGCACATGTACCCTCCCCTATATATCTATCTATATATAATTTTGCTCAGGGTATTTCCAAGTAAGGAAATACCCTTCCCAGTATAGATCTTAACAACAATTTGGAAGCTTTCAACTCTTCTAGTCTGAAACTTCTATTGTACTTACAGTAAGTTCCCAGATTTGGCATTATTTGATTATTTCATATACCAGCTTTAAGAACCCCAAAAGATTTTTAAATCCATAAGGGCAGATCATGTAGTATACTTTACAGAGCCCAGCAGTAGGTTTACCAATGCCAGGCAATGTTTTCTATCCATTAGTTTAAAAAAAAACAATTCAGTAAAGTGTTCATTAATCCTAAAATTTTATTACCACTCATTTCCCAAATAACAACCACTGTTAAACTGTACCACCTTGACTATATTTAAAGGTAATCAAAAGCTAATTTAAAATTGTTTAGCAAAAAGTTTAAAAATTATTTAATGAAAGGTATAGCACAAAGCATAAAACAATATTTAGTACTCCAATTCAACATTTAACTTTATTTCCCCACCTAAATTTATGCGAGCTCTAAAAATTAGAGTATTTGTCTTCATAAATGCTAATGCAAGTTCCAAGGGGAAATATCTTAAGCTTTTAAGTGTGATTTATAACTAAAACTTCAAAGAAAAAAACAGGGTTTAAATCATTAAAGAGTAAATATTTGGGTGGAAAGAAACAGGTTTATTGCTTTATTATTTTTTTAAAGTTATACTTTAAATGTTGTTCAAGAGTTTAGCTCCTGGGGTGGAAAATTCCTTTAGTTATACACTAAAGAAGCAAGCACAAATTAACTACAAAAAATTCATACTCTCAACATTTGTTGTAATAGGGCAAAAATGTTCATTACCACAATATTAAGAAATATCAACAATATGAGTTTGAGTAACTAATTCATAAGGAAGAGTTTGAATTGGACTAAATCCTGGGTTTTCTCTGTTCACTCCAAGTTTCTTTTCTATTTTAAACTAGTGGCAACAGAAATTTCTTTGTTTGAAAGTTAGGAATGCTGAGGTCTTAAGTGATAGAACAGGTAGCTCAGCTTCTACTTCACAGCTCTCCTCAGAGGGAGAAAAACATTGTGGATAAAGCAGTTTTGTTTTTATTTCTGGAAAAATCATTTTTCCATCAATCTTCATAATTCTCTAAAATAAACTGTTAAAAAGTTGTGGGCAAGTAGGCTACTTTGCCCTGGTTTGTGGAAATACTATACATTACTTTCAAGAACACATGGGTAACTCAACTTTTCCTCTAAAGGCCTAAAAGTTGCTCCCAATGTTAACAAAATTTCAGGCAAATGTTACCAGTTCATGATATATTTCTACATCTCATCTGCAATACTTTTGCAAAAGAATAGTAAAAGTCTAGGTTCAAGGGTCACACTGCATGCCATCAAATTTATTTTTAGGAGACTGTATGATTTCAACTATGGGAAAAACTTTTTTGTTTCACCAAGTGCTAAAGAATCACATCTAAAAAGAAAATGGAAATAAGTCAAGAATTTGCTATTTTTCATTAAGGTGGGGAGAACGACAAATAGTCTTCTTTGCTGAAAGTTACCACAACTTTTAGAGGGCATAAATTGCAAAGCAAAATTTAAAATAATTTAAAATATGTGGTTCACATTCTAACCAACCTTAATTAAGATTTAAACATTCAAGAGATATCCAACTTAGATGATTAAGCAAAGCAGGAAGCAATAAGAAACACTGAACAACAGTTCTTAAATCATATAAATCAAATAAAATCAAGAAAAATGAAATAAAGACAAGAAACCATTTTCTCCTCAGCACACAGAGTTGCCCCAAATCACAAATGATGAATGGGAGACAAGGCTGACGCACGCACGCAGTCGCACGCACACAATGGAGAAAGAAGCATGCAGACCCTCAGAGACAAACTTTACACATGTAATGTTCTATTCTCCACCCAAAGGAAAGGAGAGCGCGTGGGGGGGGGGCGCATTACACTTTCTTCCAGATCAGATGGAGCAAAACGACAGTTAGTACTGCAAACTACAATTCTCTTGATATAATCAAAGGCATAACTGAATGAATGGGGTGTGGGGCAGGGTGGATGGAGGAAAGGGGGGAAGGGAAAGAGGGGGGAAAGTGTCTGAGAAGAAAGTTGGAGGAGGTACTTTGCAAGCTTGAATAGATTAACTTCAAAAAAAAGCCCTACTATTTCCTATTTCACATCCTCCCCTAATTTTTATGAAATATACACGGACTTCCTGGGACGCAACCCAGACTAGCCTTCAAGGCAGCTGAAAGGCCTAGGGCTTCAGACACAGCAGGAGTCCTCAGCTAGATATATGCCCTAACACAGATGGCCCCTTTTGTGGGAAAATGATTTGAAAAATCACTTTTGCCACTGTGTGTAAAATAAGACCAATTGCTAAGGAAAGATGAATTCTGTGCATCAATCCACAGTGCTTTGATCTTCTACTAGAAACATAAGCTGTGTACCACTCAAGACTTTTTTTTTCTTAACTTGAAAAAGTTTGTTTTCTCATTTTCAGAAGATCATGAGGGACTGAGGCTTTAGTGCTTTTTAAGCTTCTGACTTGTTTTTAAATGGATTGTTTAGGCTACCTAGCAAAAGCGGGTAAAGCGTGAATGCTTTAAAAAGTTAATTAGGATTGACATCAGATAGGCTGAAATGTACTGATTTTAAAACGTAACAGCATAAAAAAGTCTCTGGATACAACTTTCCTTTAATAAAATGAAAATATAATGGGGGATGGCGATGAGATCTTGAGTAAGAAGTTGGGTCCCATGCAGTGGTCCCGTGTACTGGACAAAAAGCTTCCTTTAATCACATGCAACAATCATCTTATGAGAAAGGCAAGGAAGAGGGGGCTGGGAAATGATCACCTCCGCCACTTTGAACAGGACCCTGCATTTCTCACACCACTATGAGCCAGCCCAGGTGGGGGAGGGAAATACAACTTCGCCCTTAAGAAATAACACCGAAAGGGAAAAAGAAGTCACCTCACTCTTCTTTGCTCTACACACACAGGAAGAGCCCAATTCAGTGCCACCACCACCCCCTGTCTATGCCCCGCCCCAACTTGTATGTGTGTGTTGGGGGGCACGACTCGCGCTTTATCCCACAAGTTCCGAGATACCTCCATCTCTTCCAGATTAAGTTCCCCCACCCCCAATCCTCCATGGTGCCACGCTCAAAGACGCAGGTGTCTCTGGTTCTGGCCTATTTTTATACCCTCCCCCCTCCCCCCCCAGCAAACCCCGTCTAGTTGCACACCCCAGTCCCTCCCTGATTGCCCAGCGCAGAGAACGACCTAGCCTAGACGCCAGGAAAACACCTCAAGCCCTACTCCAGGGTCACCTGGCCAGAGCGCTGGGCCCTGCCTTCAGGGGAGACCTGGGGCCGCCCCCTCGTCGCCGGTGCCTAGTGCGGGGCGCGCACTGGGCCCCCGAGCAGTCACGTGGGAGGGAGGGGAGGCCTGGGCTTCCTCACCTGCATCCCAGGCACTTGGACAGCCACCGGTGAGTGGGCCATGAAGGCGACTTCTGCTCCGCACTGCTTCTGCGGTGGTGGCGCCTTGGGTTCAGGCTGGCTCCTCCTACAGGGGTAGCTCGGCGGCCCTCCCAGGCTTTTCGATCGGGGCCTGGAAGGACACAGAGAAGTGGGCTTACTGGGCTCGTGGCTTGTAACCCCGGGCTAGGAGGTGGGCGGTTCGCGGCGCGGCTCCCTGGGACTCAGTCTACCTTTCTGGTGCCCGCCCGCCGCTGTGGCCGCCGCCTCCGCTGCTGCTCCTCTTCCTGAATGCAGGGCGCTGTGTGTGGCGGTGGCTGGGACCTGGGCTCGAGTGATGCCGCTCGTCTGCGCCTCGCCGCTTTAGGAAGAGGAGGTGGAGGCGCCCCAGCAACCCGCCCGCTCGCCTGGCCTGGGAGGCGGTTGGGGGCGGTTCCGCAGTTGGCCCTGCCCCCGCCCGGCAGCCAGGCGGTGTCGGGGGAGCTAAAGCTCCAGGCAGCGAAAGGGTTTGGCTGGGGTGGCAGGAGCCTGAGAAGGGGGGGAATCTCCGGGCAAGCGGAGAGTAGGACCCCGAGAACGGGAAACCTGGAACACAACTGGGCCTGGAGAGAGAATGAAAGAGTTTGGGAGACCCTGGGGGTATGAGGGTGTCCCAGACGTGGCCACGTTGCAGGCAGGCTTGCGAGGCTAGGGCACTTGAAGCCTCCGAGACGTCTTGAGCTGAAACTTGGGGAGTGTTGGAAGTTTTCCTTGGCTCCTCCACCTGGCCGAGGGTGGGGCCACGCAGAGTCGCAGAGTTGGTAGACCCCAGCTCCTTCTCGGCGAACCGTGTCCTCAGCCGCGGGCCGAGCCACTGGGCAGATCCGTAGTCTCTCTCCTGCTTTCCGGTTTTCCCGCCCGCCCACATGCTTCAGGTGACTTCAACCTGAGGCTTCTCTACCTCTTGGACTACTAGTTGGGAGATGGCCAGGCTGGGCTTCTCGGCGCCAAGTTCTGCACGTGTGAAGGAGAGGGAAATGGGAAAACAGATGGTATATCGGCAGAAAAATTAATGAGGATAATAGAGGCAAGGGAAATGAGATTGGATCATTAGCAGCAGCAGTACATGTTATTGAATTCGGCATACACAGCCATGGTTTCCACAACTCTCTGCCTCCGCCCAAGTTTAAATTCCACTCCAGGAACTCTTTTGAGACCCTGATAATAACAAAATAACAATGATATTAATAGCAATTACAGCAATCTCATTATGAAGCCACTTTTGGGAACACACAACAGGTTAATTACATTTTTAAAACATAATATCTAAGAGCCAATCTTAAATGAAGATGAAGTTCCTTACCTTGCAGTTTGTTAGGAGTCTGTGTACCTAATACAGTGTAGGAGGGGCTCAAGTAGACACTGAATCAAATTTTATTATTTTTAATGTTTCTCAGAGAATAGCATAGGGTTATTATCAATGTCACCATCATTGGTATTGTTATTGAGGCTCTGAGGATTGAACCCAGGGCTTTGTGCAGATTGTGCAAGTGCTCTACCACTGAGCTACATCCCCAGCCCAATATCGTTGTTATTAATGAATCATTTGTTCTGTGCAGGCCAGTAACCACTAAATGCTCTATGTGTGTTGCCTTATTGAATCCCAGCACATGCCCCCATTTTACAGAAGGAAAAAAAAGCTCAACCAGGTAAATATTTTAATCAAACACCTAGAAGTTGTAGAGCTGGGAATTCAGACCCAGGTCTCTCTAGTGATCAACTTCCTACTTCCTGTATGGTTTGTGTTTGTTTTAAAAGGTGATAAAAGATTTATTTCCGAGAAGGCTTGCTCACACTTAATGCTAGCCTGGCCAGAAAGCTGCAGTGCCTCCTAAACTTTATTGACCATAGAAATTTCCAAGGATTTTGTTGTTGTTGTTTGCTTTGTAATACTGGGAATTGAACCCAGGACTTGGCACATGCTAAGCAAGAGCTCTACCACTGAGCTACATCCTCAGCTATGCCCCCACAGCTGATTTTGATCCCACAAGTCTGAAGCAAGCCCTAGGTTCTGCATTGCTAACAAGCTCCCATGTGGTGCTGATTCTGCTGATTCTTAGATCACACTTCCAGTTAGCATGGATCTGAGTCAAGCTCCATCATTTAAGACACACCTCAAGTGAGCCCATTGAGCCTTCCTTGTTACTCTAAGCCCCCCTTCAAATTCTCTTATTGTACGTTGGTGGAAGCAGCACTTACATTGTAGTTCTTTCCTCTTAATTCATGTGTTTTTTTTTTCTGTCCATCATGATTACTAGATCCTTGAAGTGACAGATTCAGCTTTGCTTACATGAAAATTATTCAGGTAGAAGGGTGGCTCTCCAAAGCAAACTTTTTTTTATTGTTTTGTTCATTGTTGTAACCTCAGAGCCTAGAACAGTTTGTGGCACATAGTAGGCTCTCAACCAGTATTTGTTGAATGAATGAATGAACTTCCTTTGAATTCTTCATTGAGGGTATTAGGTGCATAATAGGTACACCGTATGTTTTATTGATGCCAGGCTAAACTCCTAGGAACTGCTCTGCTAAACCATTAAATTGGTCACTTAATGTGTTAACACTGTTCATTTTTTGCTTCCTAAATTCTTTCCAGTTTAATTTCACAATTACCTAAGAGCAAAGTGTGTGTGTGTGTGTGTGTGTGTGTGTGTGTGTGTGTGTGTGTGTGTTTCCTGGTGCTGAGGGGTTGAACCCAGAACCTCAGGCATGCTGAGTAACTGCTCTACCAGTGAGCTACATTCCCAGCCCAGGATGTGTAATTTTATTTTTTATTTTTTATCTTTTTTTAATATTTATTTTTTTAGGTGGACACAATATATTTTCATTTTATTTTTACGTGGTGCTGAGGATGGAACCCAGTGCCTGGCACATGCCAGGCGAGCACGCTACCACTTGAGGCACGACCCCAGCCCCAGGATGTGTAATTTTAATAAATAAGTAAATTAAACATTTTAGACAAGTGGTTTTCTCTGACATCATTCTGGGCCAGAGTTATGTTATAATGTGGAAGAATGAGTGCTAAAGTTTAAGACCTAGACAACTGAGATATTTCCAAAGAGACATTGCTTAGTAAGCCTTTTGACTTTTATTCAGGACTAGTAATTTTAAATAAACCATCTCAGGTTGTTATTTTTGATATAGTTTGGATTTTTTCAGCACTGGGGATGGAACTCAGGGCCTTGCACATAATAGGCAAGTTCTCTACCACTGCACTATTGCCCTCATTTGTGTTCTTATATGAAGTTCCTTGTGGTTTTTCTTATACCTTTTCCATTATATGTGCATGTATGTATATGTTGCACATATATGTATGCATGCATAAAAATCTTGTGAAGAGGTCAACATTTGAAAACAATTCAAAGTTTATGAGCACTAGGAGCTTTTTTCTGTCTTGCATTATCTAAAATTCACGAGACCACAAGTGACTTCAGAATTTTCTGGATTGGGGCCTTTTGCATAGACTTTACCAGTTGACCATTGCCTAATATGAAAATCTGAAAACTGAAATGTTCCAAAATGTTTGAGCACCATGTTGACACTCAAAAAGTTTCTGATTCCAGTGTGTTTTGATTCTTGGATTTTTCAGATTAGAGATGATCAGTTTGTGCATTAATACCACACCTATGCCTCTTGGTAGGCATATAGGGTGTAACAGAGTACCTCACATAGATTTTGGTACATGCTTGATTCTTGTGACCTGAGTGACTATGAATACTTAGTAACTATATAAAATGGTTTTTCACAGATTGTGCAGTCATTGGATTACAAGTTAATATCCTTGAGCTCAAAAAAACTTTATTTAAATTTAGCTTCTTTGGTTCCAATTTCCTGATATTTTTCATACCTTCAACATTAAATATTTAACATTACCCATGTTTATAAATATTTACTAAATGGACTGGTTCATAGCTAAAGTGTTAAGTAGATAGAAATGGCCAAATATTAATGTAGGCAATAGTGAGGTAATACATTAAGTCCATGGTTCTCAACCATGGGCAATTTTGCTTTCTAGAGAACATTGTTGGGTGTCACAAAGAGTAGTGAGGATGCTACTGGGTGGGTAAAGGCCAGAAAGGCTAATTATCCTACAACTAATTATCCTATTGTTGTGGACAATCTCCACAACAAAAAATAATTTAGCCCAAAAGCAAATGGGGCGGAAGCTTGAGAAACCATCTGCTACACTCTCAATATTAGGAGCTATTAAGAAACAGACTTGGGGTTCTCTGTTCCTTGAGGATTTCAGTTTAATGTGATATCTGGGGCCATAAAAAAAGTGAGTAGTGGAAACAAAGCCAGTCTACTTTTTTTGTTTGGTGGGTAGGTACTAAGGATTGAATCCGGGGGTAACTTACCACTGAACTACATCCCTAGCACTTTCTATTTTTATTTTGAGATAGGATCTCACTAAATTGTCCAGGATGGCCTTGAACTTGAGATCCTCCTGCCTCAGCCTCCTGAGTAGCTGGAATTACAAGTGAGTGCTACTATACCCAGCCAAAGCAGTATTCTTATGTTAACATTGTACTAACCCACAGGTCACCTGCCCCCAAAGAGTAAATATAATGACAAGAAATTCAAGTATGCTTTTGTTACTCCTGCTTCAAAGTAATATTGAACAAAAAATAACTTTAAAGGAAAAAATTGACTTGTTTAAAAAACAGTCACCGAAAGTGTTCTAACATACCAGGCATTAATTACCCAAGAGCCTTCAAATATGGTAACTCATAAGTTAAATTTGACTTTTAACTTCACTTTACAAAATTTAAAGATAGTGTTTCACATTTTGAACTTTCACATTTTTAGCCTAATGACTGTGTTAAAATATATAAAATATGTAAAAATATAATGGTAAATGATACAATTACCTGAATTTCTTTCCATTATCGGGATATTGAAAATGAAGGGAAATGATCTGGGCAATTCTAGAAGCTCACCATCCACTGATAGAAATATTTTGATTCAGGCTATGAGACTCTGTACTGATATTTGGAACTATAGCTTTCAAGGATCCTTTTTTTATTATTAATAAAAGCATATGTGATACCTCACATCTCCTCTTTACTCTCTGTGGGTATCAAATTGGAAACCATGACATAATAGTTCTTGCAGATGTTGTATCCTCACTATAGTTCCAGCAAAGCATCCCATAGAAAAATCTATTGAATCAGTTCTTGGTCAGGGAACATTAAACCTGTATAATTGATGAATTCTCTAGAATAACCTTGTACCTTTTGGGGCTTGCACAATACTCTATCATAGCATCATTTATAACAGAAACCATACTATATGAGACTCTGCACAGCTGAATTTTCTCACTGGCTTTACTTCCTGACACTACTGAGGGGAATAGAGCAACAGAGGAGGTGGGTGGAAGCAGATGCTGCTTAAGTGGTTTCCTGCTTATAGCATTTGTTATATGCTTACTCACTTTGAAATATTTGCATTCAGGTACTGAAAGAATCAAGCTCAAAACTTCTTGTCTTTACCAATTGGTTACAGAGCTGAGAAAGGTAAACATGGCCTGGACACTTTTGTTCACATGTAGGGGTAGCAATCAAAAGATGGAATGGCCAGCTGCAGTGGCGCACACCTGTAATCCCAGCGGCTCAGGAGGCTGAGGCAGGGGGATCGCGAGTTCAAAGCCAGCCTCAGCAAAAGCATGGTGCTAAGCAACTCAGTGAGACCCCATCTCTAAATAAAATACCAAATAGAGCTGAGGATGTGGCTCATTGGTCGAGTGCCCCTGAGTTCAATCCCCTGTATCAAAAAAAAAAAAAAAGATGGAATGTTCAGAGTTCCTTTCCTGGTTCCAGTTTTGCCACCTGTCCAAACTGTCCAGTACAAAGCTACTGTTGACCTTTAGATGACTTGGACCCAAGGCCTTACAGCCTTCATAAGCTTACTCCCAGTCTCCTCGGTGCCAAGAGGCACACTGCTTGCTGCACTGGTCATCCCATAAATGACCATTTTCTCTTGCTCTGTGGGTACATGAAAAACTTTTTTTTTTTTTTGGTAAAAGTTTGAAGGTCATTTTAGGGGGTAGCTTTGGGAGACTGGGCTCTTTGTAATGAGCTCAGATAACTTCTTTGTGCTCTCTAGTGTATATTTTTCAGTCACAGGGGAGCCTTTAAGTGGGTTTCCATGAAATGATGTTAAATAACCAACCTGGGTGATATTTTTCTCCTCTGGGTTGGCTTTTGAAAGTATATTCAATTGACCACTTGTTCTTTAATTCATAGGCTTCTCAAGAGAATGGTTCTAGTCAAAGGTGGCAGTTAAAAACAGGAAAAAAACTGGCAGTTAAGACCAAATAGGAAGTGACTATGCCATCAGCTCACACTGAGGAAAAGGAAGTTGTTGCCAGGACCTCTAAGAAAGGCAGTTGTGTAAAATTACCACCCTTCAACTTGCTTAGCTGAGGTTCTGTCACCCTGTCGTAAAAAGTTCCATAGTTTTGTATTGCTAGACTTCAGAGAACATGAACACAGTAAGGGCATGATAGGCACTCCTGTGCAGGACTGTTATCAGAGACTACCAGAAGTTTCGAGGGGGGGAGCAGGAACTCAACATCGTAAACAAGCAAAGTTGCCATTCCACCCTTTCTTATTTCCTGGCCCACCTTGATATCTTTTTTTTTTTTTTTACATTAGGATGTTATGTGATGAGATCTACCACAAGGATCCAACTGTAGCCTATAATGAAATTTTCACTCAGAAATAGAAG